TATATATATATATATATATATATATTAATATGTTTTATCATTGTGTACAATTGCAAAAATAGATCTTTTTATGTAAATGATCTATAAATCTTACTAATTAAGGTTGAAAAGAAAATTCAACTTCTTTTATTTGATTACTTAGGGGGTGTTTGAGATTGCTTATAAAAGCTGCTTTTTAATTTATTTCAGTCTGACACCGGTGATAAGCTGTTTTCTGGTGTTTGGATAAGAAAAAGAAAATTGCTTATACCAGTGCCAAACCGGTAATAAGTTGTTTTTGATAAGTTAATCATTTCCGACTTATGAAAAACTGCTTATTAACAGTTTATAATTTTAACCATGTTTTATTTAACTCCGGTTTGATACCACATAAGTTAATAAACACTTTTACAAAAAAACATAAGTTGTTTTAAATAAACAATCCCAAACACCCCTTAATGTGGTCGATCCCATAGAATGTGGTTCGTTTTCTTTCAAGATAAATGATGAATAAATAAGTAAAATCCATACGAATTTTTAATACAACTTATTAAGACAAAAATCTTATTTTTATTTATTTAATTTTACGTCATATTAATTACTAAGTTTATACTTCACCAATAAAAGATGATCAACAATCATTACAAATTAAATTTTTAAACACTCAATAATCATTATAAATTAAATTTTAAATTTTCTTGATTTTTACCATCATTAACTCTAACATGCCTTTCACGCATTATTTTGTAAAAAGATGAATTACATTTTATAACCCCTGGATTTTTTTATTAACTCCGTTAAAAATATCAGTTAAATTAAAGATATCTATATTATATTATAAAATATTTGAAAAAAACTCTTAAAAACCATTTTTTATGTGTAAAGTATTGTTTATATTACTTAAAACTCAATATCGCAAGTAGATTGTGCGTAAGTTTAACTTATTAAAACATCATATCTGAATTCGTGTAACTAACTACAGATAAACATAAATCAAATACAGGATAAACATCTCATTTTAAATATATAAAAATCTAAAATATAATTAGGATAATCATTGAGTTCTAACAGAATACTTAATTATTATATTTATAAATGTTATATTATTAAACCAAAAATAAATTATTTAGTTATTAAACTTAAACTAGTTCTGTACCCGCGCAATGCGGCGGAAGCCATGAATTTTAACGATTTTGAAGTTTCACTGGTTTTATAAGACAAGATTTAACGATGATATAAGTTACACTTGATCTTTACATATTAATACAATTTGAATAAATAAGAGTTATGGTTCTAATTACAGACTATCGATGAAAAAAATTGTATGACAGTTTAAAATCCAATATATTTAAAATTCAACATATTTAAACGACTCCACAAATGTGTTCGATTTACAACAAGAGCAAAGAACCAAAAAGAACTTGAGTTTTAAGATAAACACTCAAAACCAATAAAGAAAACTACAAATTTGACAGATCATAAGCTATGAAAAGACCAAAAAAGATGGGTTTTAGAATGAAATTTCAACTGCTTACCCTCTTTCTTGTCCAGAAGCTCAGATTGAGGTTGAATTAATACATGTATATATATATTTCAAAAAAAACCCAAGAACATATTATACAGTGCAATTTGGACAGCCTAATCCCAAAATGTATARCATATATATAAATAAATAACTATAAAAGTATAAATCGTAAATATTAAAAATATTTTTTCACAGTATATATAATATATAATAATATAATTAAGTCAAAAACTATTCAATATTGGACTCATTTCGAAGGTATTAACGAGACGATTATAATAGTGYAACTTGTTAAAATAAAAATGTATTTTTTAAACATGTTTTATTTGATATACGATTATGTATGTTAATTTGATAAAGATTTAAAATGAAACATTTAAAAGTAAATGGCGTAAAGTAATTAATTAACTAATTACAAGGATATAAAATGTAAATTTAAAATTATAATTTAAAAAAAAATCCGTTGAATGTGAGAGGTAAATGTATGTGAGTATGTGAGAGGTAAATGCATGTGGGGGGTGACCGGGTGAGTGTATGTGAGGAGAGGAAGGAGTGAAAAAGTGAAAAGGGTATCTTGGTCATTTATAATTTTAAGACTTTAAGACTTTTGATGAATTTGCTTAACAAGATAGTATAGATTAAATTATAATAAAAAAATAAATTAAAGAAATTACATAAAAAATGAGAACTTTTAAAAAGGTGATTTGATATTAACATTAATATATTTTTTTTCCAAATTTTTATGATATCTTCAAATATATATTTTATTCAAAAATAAAATCATTATTGTTTTTTTAAAAACACATAAAATCGTATTATAATATCGACAAAAACAAATAATAAAAAAAAACATTAACATTAAAATGTGTCTCGCTACATTACGCGCTGGTTTTTTTTATCAATTTATCGATCTATCAATTATAAGTATATATTTGTGTAAAAGAAGATAGTGAGCATGTGGGGTCACGTGATGGCATATGGAGTATAATGGGAATAAAGACAAAGCTCTCATCACATGGTCAAGTGCATGGCACGACTTGTATGCATTGAACCTTTTGTGGATTGCTTTTTGGGCGGAGTTGTTAACATACACTCGTGTAACAAAAATGCGTTTAGGTTAAAACAGACGGTTATTCAATATACGTTTATTTAAAGCAGATCAAGTTAATCATACGATATTTTTACAGGTATTTAAAATAAAATAACAACATATCATTTGTTCATATTAAAATTCTTTCTCTTTTTAACATACGAATTTATTTAATATGATAAGTTTTATAAACCTTGTTGTTGTTGTATCTGTAATCGTTTATAATTCTCGACCCCATATGTCCAATGAGATGCAATTTTCACAATCCCAAAAAGTGTACAACACCAATCATCCCTCCTAGGAACATCATATGTGAATGGTGATGTGCCACTCTCACCCGTCACCATACATCCCATCCATCCATGTTCTTGAGATATTGTAATCTACCCAATGCCCCATTGCACGTGTGCAACTTCGATTGTTTTTGTACTTGTATGCATTAATGATTTGTACCATCATTTTTGGATTTCAACTTTACAAACAATCAAATTAATGCATATGGTCATGGCAAGGTTGATAACCTTTCCATTTCATACTCAATTCGATACCATCATAAAATAGTGATTTATACATATTTTATTTATTTTTACTCGAGATAGAGACGGATCAAGAATTTTTCTTTAAATGGCGCCTTTATTTAATTATAAGGAAGAAAACTTAGAATTTTTCCTTGAAATAATTAGCGATTTTTTAGTTGCTTCCTTGTCTTTCCAAAAAAAAAACTCACGCGTCCGAACCTTTTCTTCCAAAAAAATTCAAAAAACAAAAACCATAGGAAAAACATAAAGTTAAAAGGTGAAATTTTTTATTACAAAGGGACTATGAAGCGATGGCACGAGCTATCGTTTTAAGTCCGTCCATGACTGAAAAGAATTATGCATGCAATCTAGTGTATATTCATGTAACGATACTATTCAAATGAAGTTCTAACTTGATGTGGGATGTAATAAAAACAACAATCACAAAAAATTTCATGGAATGTAAAGATATGTTTATGCTAAAAACTAAATTATATTACGAATTTCATTTTTTTATATTACAATTTATGTTGTAAAAAACTTGTTTTATAATAAAAATCTGAATATTACGATTTAAACACATATATTGTACTAACAAAGGCTTAATTTATTTTTCAATATTAAATATGCTGAAAAAGTTATAGTACAGTACACTATTATTTATATTTATTTGAGTTAGTTGAATTGAATCATTAAATATATTGAAATTTGGTGATTTGGGCCGAAAACTTTAAGATAGGTAGGGGCCTCGTGGGCTTATGGGATGGTCCCGGCCACGGGTATCAGGATGTGGGCCTGGATGGAATAGTCCCCACCTTCAAGTTCAACCCCCACGAGGGGTAGAATCGACCTTTTGGTGCAATCATGATGCCACCTTTATAACCTCATCTATTATATCTATTCAGATAATCAGACTAGGCAAGTTCAATGCTAAAAGCAAAAGGCAAAAAGGATAAAATCGTAAACTTAGGGGTTGTTTACCAACTGCTTATTCGGGTAAGCGTTTATCAAGTCACATTCTTTTACCGGATGAATATGACAAGGATCAAGAATCTTACCTGGTAAGAGTGAAGGCACGAGCCGAGAGTCTTACCCGGTAAGTGATGACGACGACTCTTACCACGGTCAGTGCTTACCGGGTAAATTGTTACATACGATGTCATTTTGGTAGACTAAAATCTTGCCCGATAAATAAGATATAGAGTTGAATTTTACCGTTAAGCACTTACCCACACAAACTGCAACTACAGATTAGCATTGATATGTCAAAATGTATCAAAATAGAAGAGATATTAGCTAAACTAATGGGGTTGTTTATCAAACACTTATTTCATAAGTGCTTATTGGTAAAAACACGAACCATCTTGTTAGATATTGTGAAGAAAATTTTACGTTATGCATTTAAATAAGTAAAACAATCCAAAGTTATAAAGAAACACAAAAAGAGGAGATGTGAACCGTTGTGTCTAATTGGTTTGAGTTTGAGCTCCAAAAGTCAAAAGTGCCTGGAGGTTTTAGGTTCAAATCCAATGTGAAATAAAAATCTTCTTTAACCATTGAGGTTCAAATACGATGACTACAGACTACTCATAAAACAGGCAGTAGCCTTGAAATTGGTCGGCTCAAACAACGGATTAGATATCCAATTGAAAAAAGGAAAAAAGAAAAAGAGGAAAAAAAAAAAGGGATGTGATGATGGTCACCTTTTCATTGACTGCCTTGATAACACGTAGGCTCTTCCAAATCTACCGCTTCTGTTACACACTAAACACACTCGCATCTTCCAAGCAAAGAACCAATCACATCACAAATACTTGTCTTCAATCATCATCTTCCTTACTTCCATTCCAATTCACCTCTCAAATCTCTCTATTTCATTCTCTATCAGTTGTTGATTTCCCAAATCATGCCGGAATTTCTTCATTAACTGCACCTCCGCTCATGATTTGAAGTAGTTACTATAATGTCTGGGGAAATTGAAGAACCGTTTCGCTTTAATTTTCAGGTAATTTGCTTGTCTTCCCGTCGTTACTAGATCTTATTTTTTCTGTTCTTTGATTATGTCGGTTTCCTCTGTATGCAATTAATTCCTTCACTACATTAACTTAGTTCGTCGATTTATCGTGCGAATCTCACTATTTACTTCACATTCCCTTTCGACCTGTTTTGTTTGTGCTGTCGAGTTTATTTGGATATTCTTTTTGGCATAAAAGAAGAATATATTGATTTAATCATCAAACCTCAACATAATCAAAGATGATTAGATGATTAGATATACTTTCATATTAGTTTGCTTTTGTTTTTCCTTTTAAAATTTGAGGTCGTAACCGTAACATTCATATTTTGATGTCGGCAGACGCCGGCAGGTCCGATCTCATGTTTTTAAATATCTGTATGGAGTGGTACGCCCATTATGTATCTTATGCAAAATGCCTTGAGTTAGGGGAGAAGATTTTGGAAAACTATATTGCTCAAGTGGATGGTAGCAACTAACTGAAAATGTCAATCTTCTATGGTTTTTGATTGCTTGTGGTGTGATTTTTTGTTACGCTGAAGATCAGTTTATTGAACTGATTTCTATGTTGCTTATAAGACGCTGAAAATTTTAATAATCAAGGGAAGATCAATATGTTTTAAAGCAATGGATGTATATGTACACTTACTTTCCCTCCTAGACTTTGCCTGATGTTTGGCTGTGAGCCTGTGACTGTGCATCAATTGATTGTCGTGTACTCGTTTTTAGCAAAATGCAAATGTCTTGTGATACTTTCAATTTAGGTGATTCAGAATGAAATTACAGTTGGTTGCAACAAGTCATATAATCATTTAGTTGGAGTAATTTGGTATCAGCATCTGAGAATTAGATGTAGTCAATACCCATATTTGTTTGAGAACCACAGAGGTCTATAAAAACCGTAGAGCATAGTGGACTTGCTATTTAGATTTTAGACATTGTTACTTACTAAAACATACAGTGGTTTCAGAGTCTATTCCGTGTCTCAATTTTTTGATATCACTTCAATTGGACAGGCAGACCTCTTGCACTCTGGTTCAATCTCGTTTGGTAGATTTGAATCTGAATCATTATCTTGGGAAAGGAGATCGTCCTTTTCGCACAATCGATATCTTGAAGAGGTCGAGAAATACTCAAAACCAGGTTCAGTTACTGAGAAGAAGGCTTATTTTGAGGCTCATTTTAGAAGGAAATCCCTTCTGAAGCAAAGTTCTTCTGAATACCATGATGGTAGAGAATTCCAGACAAGTGAAAATGATGACCCACAGGATTTACAAGACTCAGAGAATGGCAATGAAAGCAAGTATTTTACTTCCTTTGGCAAGCGCCCTCATAGTTCTGGTCATTCCAAATATGATGAAGAAACTGATATTCAGAAATGTGAAAAGGAAAAGATTGAAACTGTATGGGCTGAGAATGACAACACAGGCAGCCATGTTACAAGCTTTGATGAGAGCTATTCTCATTTAGGGTATGAAGGGGGTGAAATTCTGGAGTGTGAAGGAGCGGAGTTAGGAGTTTCCTCTGTTGCACCTAAGGATGAGTCCACGATAAACATTGTTGATCATATGGTAAGTGGTTCAGAGCATCTTAAGATCAAAGAAACACGTCAGATTGGAACCAAGAATGTCGTTTTGGTTGAAAGTGAAGAAAATACTGGAGAGACCCTTAATGATATTGTTGTAATGGTGGATGTGGCATCACAAAATGATTCATCCCTCACTAGTGACACTGCAGATAAGGACGAAGCGAGCGCTAACTCTGGACCTCAGCGAAAGTTCTCTTCCAAAGTGAGTCCTCCTCGCTTTTTACCTACATGTTTCTCCAGTACTTCGTTTCTTTCTATGGATTTTTATTGGTAAAAAGCTCATAATACTGAGAGAGAGAGAGAGATACTCCACTTTTAATGAGTGTATCCACCTCCCGAGACAGTTTAAGATAGGAAATTTTTTAATTGCTTGTCTACGGGGGTGTTTGGGATTGCTTATTTTATCTGCTTATTGACTTATTTCAGTTTGGCACCGGTGATAAGCTAATACCTAGTGTTTGGATAAGAAAAAAGAAAACTGCTTATACCGGTGTCAAACCGGTAATAAGCAGTTTTTAATAAGTTAATCCGTCATGACTTATGAAAAACTGCTTATTACCAGTTTACCATTTTAACCCTATTACCCTTTATACCTATCTTTTTTCCTCCGGATAACATCGATCTCAATCTTCTCCCTTCTCCATATAACAACATCAATCTTCTCTCTGTCCTTTTTGGTCATTTTACAGATATAAACAAAATTTGCCAAACACTAAAAAACAACTTATCAGCTTATTGCAGTTTGGTACCGCTGTAAGCTAATCCAAACACTTTTTACAAAACTCCAATTTGATACCACATAAGTTAATAAGCACTTTTACAAAAAAACATAAGTTGTTTTAAATAAGCAATCCCAAACACCCCCTACGACTCAGAAAAGGATGATTAGTATGTCCTTTATTTATGTATGTTTGTGTATACCTATTTATATTTCTGTAATTAACCGCTTGATCCCTCTGGCTTTAGGTAAGGCCTGCTTCCAAAATGAAACAAACAGAGTCAAAACAGAAGGTGCAAGCCAATGCTGCTCAGGTTCAAAGAACCATTTCCAGTGAAGCATCCATTGGCTCTGCTAAAGCCAAAACAAGAAAAAGCGAAGGTCTACTCATGAAGGAAAAGCAAAAGATGTCACCTCGACCTGCTAGTCCCATCACACATTCAGGGAGAAAAACTTCAAAATCAGAGGTGAAGATTAAGATTTTTTCAAACTATACATATCGCTCGTTCTTCTTGGTAGTGACATACAATATAGATATTCAAATCTAATCACACAATTGGTTTTTGTTGGTTTTGTTTTGGGAACCTCAATATTTTTCATACAAGCACTTGCATACAAGAGTATGTGTAATTTACTTTTTTACTTCGTCCTTTACCACATCTTCTATATACACCACACTATTACATAAATCATATGACATCATTGCAAGAAGTGCCAATTTTACTTGCTCAATACACACACATTCATACATACAGACACAAATGATATTGTCATACCATCAATGTTAATGAATAAATCTCCTCTGTTAGGAATCAAGTATGAATACTCCAAAGGCAAGACTAGTTCCCCCAAAGAAAAGGTATCCATTTTTTGGTGCTATACTCTCTATAACTTGTCTTCCGGTTGTTGTGCAAGTTTCATTCTTTCATATGTGGTACTTTTTGCAGCATTGTGAAAGAATATAGATCAGAAAAAGCAGCGGAAGCAAAGTCTTCAGTATCGGAGAAGTCTCTTCCTGAAGCACGTCAAACTGCCAACAGGTTCTTTAGTTCTTACAGTAAAAGAAGTTTCTATTGTGAAAGTGCTTATTTTCTGAGTGTACTACTACTCTTAACTCTCTTCTTTTCCATTTTTTCACTTTCTTTTTCTTTACAATCACAGGGTTAAACAGACTATTGGATTGAGTAAGCCACGCATCAATCCAGGTGTCAATCAGGGTGCTGCAGGTTTCACATTTAAGAGCGATCAACGAGCAGAAAGGAGGAAAGAGGTAAGACAAACATTAATTATGAGTTCTAGCATGCTTCATTTGTGCTTGTTTTTCTTGAAATTCTCTTCTTTATTATGGTTGGGTACGTTAAGGATAAATTGATACATATACATATATATATATATATATATATATATGTTACTGTTTCATATGAGACTGGAGGCGAGAATGCATGCTAAAGAGTTTGTATATGCGGTCGTTTGTGAATGCAAATGACATAACTTTTTTATTCTACAAGATATAATCATCACTGGAAGTTGTACATATCATTGTTTGTGTACTTGACAAACTTTTTGATGATTTGCCTGCATCCTATTGGGAATGGGACTTTAAGGTACTAAAGCTGAAGCTAAAAAATCCAAACCAAACCAAACATACCAAGTATATATTTCTGGTGAAGAACCCCTGCTTGTGAAAACTTCTTTTAGAGTTAAAAGAGAGAAACATATAACATATAAGAAAAGTTTGTGAAGGTTTAGAAGATTCTGAGAAGTTTGCTAGGAGCACCGGGAAAAAATTGTGTAGCATAAAAAGTGTAGGAAAGGTATCAGAAAAGTGAGTGTAAAAAGTAAGAAACGTAGAATGAAGCTAATTGTCCATTGTTCGAATTTTCAGGGGAAAAAAGCTGCTGAGATGACACATTCCCAAAAAAGTCTAAACTTCAAATCAACACCAATGCCTTCTTTCTACAAAGAATCTGCTCATTGTTCAGATCAAAACAAGGTATATGTTGATTACAATTTAGCAGTCTTTCCTTCCTAACAAAATCAAATTGTATGGCCTACTTGATTATTTTGGGAGTGGTGCTCACTGGTTTTCGCGGGAAATGGTTTTGTGGTTCGCCTGGTTGGTTCCTCAAGCAGGTGATGGTCTTCCTTGTCTGGCTGGCCACATTGAATTAAATTCAACACTCATTGATTTATGCTGGATACTTCAAATTCCAGAAGAGATTAGGATTCCCATTCATGGCATAACCCTAAACTTGAAGTCTAGGAGAAACAAGCAGAGATTATTTACCCTTAGGACCCCTTTGCCCTTTCTGATGTTATATGTCAATCTTACATACCTCCCACGTATTTATCAAATATTATGGTAAAACCGAACACTTTTTCACAGTCAAAGCCCAAATGATCTTCTTGGCAAAGGTTGTAGTAGGTTCCATAATGTTGGGATTTCCTTAAAAACTTGAATGGAATCTAGGGGAAGTTCGGGAATTAAGCATATAAACTATTAAAAAGAGCTCATTCTTGGAGATTAAACAGATAAACTATTAGAATTGGTGATGTGACATCTATATGTTGCAAATGGCAGGTTATATCAACTAGCATGAGAACACCAAACAGACCACGAACCCCTTGCATGGCTACACGCACCAACAGATTTCCATCAAATTCTACCGCCTCCTCAGCAGACACCAGACCCACCTCTTCAATTTCATTAACCAACAGAAACTGTCCTTCAGAATCTCTCAGGAAAAGCCATGTCCCTGAAAGGAGAATACAAGAGAAGAAAAGGGAGTCGAGTTCACACAAACAGAAACAGCCTGAAGCAACAAAAGGACCACGAGCCTCGAGGAAAGATACAAAAGGAGTTGAGATTGGTCCAAAAATGGGATACGCAGCACTCGGTGTTGTCACTTGAGCATCGCGTTTGTTTCTTCGGATAATCAGCGCATGGTTGGAGTAAGTTGTTGCACCTACAAGTATCTCATGGTAGATTGAATTAGGGAAGTTACTAAACTACCCTTTGTGTCAGAAAACATTACGGTAAGATTATAGATGGGGGCATAATTAGTTGTGTAGGTAAAACTTGCTTGCTTTCTAGTATTACTTATCTGATGTATAAAAGAGTAGAAAAGTATCTATAAGGGTGTATGTGTTATTGATACATATGATTTCATTTATGTGCGATTGTAGCACGTGCAATACACTTGTACTAGATGAAAAACAATCATAATAATCTTAAATTAGTTTATCCGGCAAATAAATACTAGGTCTTAGGATTTCTTCTCACAGTCTGTTAATCCAAGTCTTCTCAAAGTCATCATTCCAATGAAGAATCAAGACATTATTTTCGAAGAAAAATTACATTCATCTCTAATAAATTCTTCATTTTAGAGATCATAATATTAATTATATTATTATAATATTTAATACAATTTATAAAATATTATTTTTTTTCTCCTAACATTTAATTTCAAGATATTTCATTGGTAGAAATAATAAAAAATAATTTATCTTTTCTAAGTTATTATTTTGTAGAGAGTTATCCAAATTTAGAGAATCTCACCATTTTTTTTCCTACTTTTCTATTTTAAGAAGGTTTTAAAGATTCTATTAAAACAAAAATCCCTAAAATCTTTTTTAAAAATCCTTAAGGGGTGTTTTGGTTGTCATCTTTTTTTTTTTTTTKTTTGAAAGATATCAATATTTCATATTTCTTGTTTCATCAACCAATTTTTTTGGTTATTAAAACTTTTGTAGGTATTGATGTTTTAACATTTATGGTTTATAATTATATTTTTATATTGTTTTTTGCTTCATGTTTTAAAATAATATTATTATATCAAAAGATAAACTAAATCAATATTGATATCATTGTCAAAGTTTGGAAGTATATAAATCAAGGTTTTTATGTCTCTTTTTGGACCATAAATTTTTATAATGTCATATTCCTTCTCGCAAATAATGAAATATGTTTTTTCCATGAATATTTGTGTTGTTTATGTTTTATTTATACGTTAGTGAAATAATGTTTCACCTGATAAAAATATGTATTTATTTCAGCTCACAGTTAACATGAAATATTTATCTTTCTTTTACGGTCTACGAACAAATGTCACATATATTTATGATTGTTTTGAATTTTTAGATATAGAATTTTTATCTACAATATCTAAAAATTCTTATTAATTAACTCATCGTAACTCAAATTCCATCTCAAGTCGCACGAGACTTGCTACAACTAACATTAATCGCATTACTCACAGTAGCATTTTGTTTGAATAAATTCAATCGACAACTAAGTTCATTTACATCTCTAAGTCCCCATAAATTAGAATTCTAACTCCACCACTACGTGCAACCCGTGCGACATCAAGTTTCATCTATTACTAGTTTTGGGTTTCATAATTTTCTTTTGTATTTTATTTATTATAATTAACAAAAATCAGCGTGAAGATGAGTCGCTTAGTTTAACTAGGTTCCAAACTCTTTTAAAAATCGTACATTTCATCGTTTCATTTGTATAAAAATACATATTAAAGCATTTTTTTCACACATAGAAAAAAAAACCTTAGGACTAACCCTGTATTTAAATTGTTACAGATGCTCATATTACCCCCATAATAGAGTTCTACCAAAATAGTCGGCTATTCATTGTTGACCCATAAATGCATTTAAAAAGCAGATATTGATATTAATTTTGTGTCTCAATTTCAAGAAAAACACCATTGCTTTCTTAGCTTGTTATATTCGAAAATCCAGCATCAGAGCCATAAAAAAACAATAAAAAAGACAATGCAACAACACTTTTCAGTCTCGAGAACCAACCAGTTATAATCAACCAGACAACCACGACACTATACCCACAAAAAAAAAATAACATTATAATAAAGAAAAAGAAAAAAAAGGAGATATCAAGACTCTGGCCCTTTCTCTATCATTCATCCCTTCACCACTTTAATTCTTGAATTTCTGACATCATCATTCAACCCACAGGAATTCAAGATACCCAAAGAGTAAGAATTAATCATACGAAGCTAACAAATATCAGAAAACTAGAAAGATGGATCAAACAGATGACAACCGTCGATTGTATCCGCCGGTCACCGGAGGATGAAGTTTTCTCAGGGCTATGCGGCGGCTTCTTGTAGTAAAAAGGGAACCACGGAACTATAGGGTCTGGAGCTTCAGGTCCACCACCACCACCACCACCACCACCACCACCATAGTAGTTAGGGTTTGGAGGATTATATGGGAATATAGTAGATGGTGGAGGGTAGTATCCATTTTGTGATGGTGGCGGATAAGTGGTTGTTGGTTGATTGTTTCCGCCGCCGCCACCACCACCACCACCACCACCGCCAATTGGTGGCGGGTAACATGGGTATGGACACTCCTGGGCCACCACCGGCGCCGGAGAATACAGGGATATGGAAAGAAAGAAGAGAATGGAGAGAATTTGGTAGAGGTTAGAGGCCATTTGATGCGATGTGAAAGTTAGAGAAAAATGAGAGTATGAAATAGATAAAAAAAAAAAGAGACCAACGGAAAGAAGAAATGGGCAAAGAGGGTAGGAGTGGAAATTACTAGTCAACAAAAAAAAGTGAAGTTGTGAAGGAAATTTTGCAATATTTAGGGGTTACTTTTGTTTGTGGTGAGGGGCCACATCATCCCATCATGAATAATGACCGAGTCATGGGTAAATATTGGCAGCTCACTTCCCGAGTCATGACTCAGTAGTTGAGTGGGGTCTTTATTATTGATTGAGAACATATAGTTGGCATAGACAATAAATAAAGATGCATTTGTAAGCAAGGACAAAATGGGAACTTGGAGGATTGCCTTATATTTGGTCTCTCAATGATATGATTAGCATGTTATATGCAAACATTTAATCATTTGTTAAATATTAAATATGCCACTAACGTAAAACAAAAGAATCTTGTTTGTGGAGAACAAAGTTTTTTTTATTAACCTGAATATCCAATTCGCTATGCGAGCCGACCAAGCTCAGGGTAACCACCTGCATTGCAGATAGCCCGGAGTCACCGGATAAGAATAGTAGCATGGTGGATAAAGACAAGAGTATATAATAAAATCGTTTGAGTTTGAATCCTGCTATCTATATATACGTTTGTGGTCACTGAGAGGTTTACGACCGTTTCATTTTTTAATATATAGTAGTTGTCTAGATTTTTATTTATATGATACGTTTTTAGTTAATAAATTTTCGTTCGTAAATGAAGACTTGGTTTTAACCTACGTGGTGTCTTGGTTGGGATAATAATTGTAATTCTGGCATTGAAGCCTTAATGACATCACATGCACGACTTGTCTTCTTCCTTTCTTTTTTCCTTACAAGTTCTTTTCAAGATAGAGAAAAATCAATAAAGGGTTACACACTACAATGACAGAAGAACTATGAAATTGATCATTATCGTTGAATTGATTGAGGAAACCCTTCTATAATGCAAGGACGACTAAAATGTATATCCGTTGAATCAATGTTATCGTTGATTTGAACTGTTTTTTGATATGTAAATGGGTGGGTAATAGGTAATCGGTATTATTTTTCTCTGGTAACCGTGGGTGTCCGGCGTATATCTCGACTAGTCCAATGGTCCCTTAAGATGACAGTTAAGAAAATTGTCGGTAGTTTTGAGGAGACTTGAACTGATGATCTCTCGAAAGGATCCCAAAGCCAAGTCTTAATTTATGAGTTGAATTGAGTTGGCACTCAAAACTAATAATCAATATGATATTAGTTTATTACAAGTGAAATGTAAGGGAAAAACTGGAGAATCAAGAAAAATAGATGAAAAATATATTAAAATAAATTTCAAATTAAAGATAATAAAGTTATATATTTTATGTAATTTATTTCATTCAATTTTTTTTTTATTTTCATTCATTTTTTATTTAAAAATTTAGGTGTAAATATTTTTATTTTCTAAAAAAGATGATTTTTAGTTTGATTAAGAGGAAAATCATAAACACAAAAATTAAAGAGCCCACCAATAATTGATTCAATAAGATAATTAGGAAAAAAAATAAAAGAAAAAGATAATTAGGATGAAAATCAGGGACATTCCAATCTTTTTGAAGGCCCTGCTACGTCAAAAACTTTTGATGGCGTTGCATGAGAGATAACATCATACACATATGTTAAGCACAAAAGGACGCTAATCCTAAACGATCAACAATCTGAACCTAACTTAAACTTAAACCATTAATAATTTATATCTAAACCTATACAATTAATAATCTGAGTTATAGTTTTACATGAATTGATGAAAATGCGCTAAACATATGTAAAATTGGCCCCAAAATTTTGGAGGCCCTACTCAAAATCTCATATTTAACATGCTAAAAGACGACCTTGATGAAAATCAACATAGCAGAGCAATTTAGTGGACCTAGCCTTTTGTGGTCCAATGGGCTTATGGGCCTATACCAAACACAAGTCTAAATAAATGAATGAGGCTTGTCTATAACTATAGCTTATAAAATCTTTTACATTTTAAAGAACAAAACTTTTGTCATAATTTTTTCCAACTTAAAATAAAAATCTAACAATATATTTAAGTAAGTGATAGTTTTACAAAATATGAATTATGGATTTTCTTTCAACTCCAAAAAATCTGGAATTTTTTCATCAACCAAATATTTAATCACATACTATTTTAAGAAAGTCTTAACGTACTGTATAATATATTACGTATAGTATATATTTGGAGAAGGTGGTTAGTTGGAGAGTCCAACCCAAAGCCAGTTAATTGAGTTTTTAAAGTTTTTCCAGTAAAAAAATAATGATAAAATATTAATATATATATATATATATATATATATAAGTTTAATTAATTAAAATTATATAATCTAGAAGGATTAAAACTCATTTTCATTTCCATCCTCTTGATACTTCATTATTATGTATTGAAATATTGGAACATAAGGGAGAGAGTGTTAATTAGTGAAGGCTTTGGATCTTGTTCCTCCATTCATCCAACCAAGCTTCAATACCCACATTTATTCTTAACCTTTACTCAATGCTATAAATTCTTTGTCCCCCTAATTAATTCAATATTACTAAGGAGAGTGATTGTGTGAGAATGCAAATTAAGGTGAAAAACATGAGAAGGGATATGAACCCTTAATCACCTTTAATTTCAAAATCACTCATTAATTGCGTTTGATATGGAGATTGATCTAGTACATCTCGTCTTAACGTGCATCCAAGGTTGGAGGTATCTTCTTACGCTTTCCACATTAACTCTCTTTCTCACCAAAATCCAACTCATACTAATTAATATATATATATATATGTGTGTGTGTGTATGCTTTCTCGTTAATATTTCTAATTATTTTGAGTTTTCAATATTCTTGAAAAGAAACATGATGCAATAAAATTTACAATTGTGTAACATCTCATAATGCAACATTATTCAAGACTATCTGGTCATAAAATACAAATCTATTTAGAAAACAAATAAAATTTGGAAGTATTTAAAAATGTGATTGTGGGTTTTTCAATGTCTCGATTTTTGTTTTCCAGAATACGAACATGGTATAAAAAAGTTTTTTAAATTTTTGACTCAATCGGAAAAAGACGTGCCAAATATCTCGAGCATCAATTTTTTAGTATAATGCTTCAAATACAGTGCTTTTTTACCACTATTATATTTAAATTATATTAAAAAATTATTTGTGATTGAGTTTAATAATAAAATACTTTGATGTTTTTAGTAAAATAAGATTGAAAATGGTTTTGTCATGATTAATATCACAAATATCTTGTAGTCATCGTTAATAAATGAATAAATAAATTGAAGTTCAAATGTTTTTATAAACAAATAGTACATTTTTTTTTTCCTACACTTCAATTAAAAATATAGGACAAAATGTAATAAGTTTGCATCAGTTGATTTAGGATAATTAATATATGTTTTTTTTTCAATCAATGTGATAAGTTTTATTCTATATTAATTTTAAGAGAAAAGTCTAAAAAAACCAATAGACTTTAGCGTTTGAAATGATTAATTTTTTGGATAATTTTTTGGAACAAATAAGTCATTGGACATTCCAAAACATGTTAAATAACTCTTTGAACAATTTTTTGGAACAAATAAGTCATTGGACAATTTAAAACATGTTAAATAATTCATTGGACAATTTTTGGAACAAATAAGTCATTGAATAATTTAAAACATGTTACATAACTCCTTGGACTTTTCTAAAACCTGTTGGATACATTTTTATGACTTGTACAACTAGTTAAAGTGGTAAAATAATGAAAAAAAGCCCGAAAAACCCCAATGAACATTCATATTTTGAACGATTAAGTCCCTAAATATTTTTTGAACCAAAAAATATTTAGATCTATAAAATTAAACAAATATAACAAAAAAATACTTAGGTGGCGTTTGTTTTTTAAGAGGTGCTGAAGTCTGAAGTCTGAATTCACTTCTGAATTTTAAGAGGTGGTGCTGAAGTCTGAAATCTGAATCAGTCAGACTGTTTGTTTTTACGTCTGAAATCTGAATCAATTCATTTCAATTAAATTTAACTGAAATATCCAATCATTTAAACCATTTGTAAACTACCATATACTTTTAACACATTCAAAAATTCAATTGAAATACGTCAATTGATTCAAAACACAATAGAAAACAAAAATTCAATTGAAATGCCTTGCAAGACTTTTCAACCCTGAAGAATTTAGACCCTGTTCATATTTCCATCTTAAACATATTCCATCCTCCTAGACTCTCTTTATCAAACTTCAATGGCTTCCACTTCTTCTTCCTTTACCGATCATCTTTATGAAGCATTAGATCGAGCAGGATTTCACACTTTTAGGGATAATGATGAAATCAATAGAGGTGAAGAGCTGAATGTAACGCCCCCAGAACCCCGTAGCAAGATATTGTCCGCTTTGACTAACCCGCACCTAACCGGTCACGGTAGCCGCACGGTTTTCTCCTGGCATGGGCATGAACCGAAGTTCGTATCCCACCCAAAACGCGTCTTACTAGAGAAGGTATCCACACCCTTATAAGGAGTGCTTCGTTCTCCTTCCCAACCGATGTGGGACGAGTGACACACCCGCATCGCGGTGTAACATCCCGTCCCACATCGGTTGGTGAGGAGAACTAAGCACTCCTTATAAGGGTGTGGATACCTCATCCTAGCATGACCGGTTTTGGAGCTTGCGTTGTGCGGCTGCCAGAAACAAAACCGTGCGACTACTGCTTTGTGGTATAGCGGGCAGGTTAGTCAAAGCGGACAATATCATTGCTACGGGGTTCTGGGGGCGTTAAATACATTAGTAGTAAGTTAAGGCTATACCTACAAAAGGAGTCTCACTTCCCAGCTGCACACTGGATTTTACAGTACCTCAAAGGAATACCAAACCCCAAAACCCCAAACCTACAGCCGTAGATAACATGCACAAGCCCAATCTTGAATCCACTCTTCAATTGT